TTTCCTCCCCATGCCGCCGCCATGGTACGTGGCGCGCGCTGCTGATGGACGGCCTGCCCGGCCACGCCGGTCCGCGGCGGAGCGCCGCGCCCAGGCCGATCGGGCCCAGGCGCGCGCCGCCCAGGCACTGTTGCGGGCCTTTCGGGGCCTTCAGCACCGCGGCTGCCGCGCGACGCGGTTCGGCGCCGCCTTGGTCGCGGCGCTCGGCGACGAGTTCGCCAGGGCGCCTCGCGATGCTGCTGTTCTCCCTGGTCTGGATGGCCCTGCGGGTCGTTATTGCGCTGATGGACGTGAAGTTTCTGTTCCAGCTCATCTTGGCGACGCCGCTCAACTTCCCCACAAGGACAAGGACAAAAGACCCAGCAAGGGCAAGGACAAGAGCCTCGACAAGAGCGACAAGAAGAAGGGCACGGGAGATGGCACTCCAACCCCTGACCCTTGGCACCATGGCGGAGGAGATCCCTGGTGTCGGGCAGCTCGTCCTGCTGCTGCTGCTTCTGCTCCTCCTCCTCCTCCTCCTCCCGATCCTGCACGAGAAAGGGCGGCGCCGGCAATTGAGTGCCGCGCTTGTGTCCGTGCGCGCCGGTTCGGCGCCCTGCATTGCAGAGACCATGGGCCGCTGGGACGGCCGTCTCCTCTCTGAGGTTGGGCTTTCTGGCATGTCGGTTGGGGGGGTAGCCCTGTGCCGCTTTGCGGTGCAGGGTCTCTCCTCGAACCTTCATTGCTCGAAGGTTCCCCCTTGTCCGCTCGAAGTGTCCAATCCAATCCAATCCAATCCAATCCTCCTCCTCCTCCTCCCTCCTCCTCCTCCACCTCCTCTCCTCCTCCCTCCTTCCTCCTCCTCCTCCTCCCTTATCCTCCTTCTCCTCCTCCTCCTCCCTCTTCGTCCTGCTCCTCCTCCTCCTCCTTCTCCTGCTCCTCCTCCTCCTCCTCCTCCTCCTCCTCCTCCTCCTCCTCCCTCCTCCTCCTACCTCCTCACCCTCCTCCTCCTCCTCCTGCTCCTCCTCCTCCTCCTCCTCTCGTCCTCCTCCTCCTCCTCCCCTCCTCAGGCCTCCGCCTCCGCCTCCTCATCTACTCCTCTTCTGCCTCCTCCTCCGCATCCTCCTCCTCCTCCTCAACTCCTCCTTCTCTCCTACATCTTCTCCACTCCTCTCCCTACCTCTCCTCCTCCTCCTCCTCCCATTCTCTTGCTCCTCTTCCTCTTCCTCCTCCTCTCCTCTCCTCCTCATCCTCGTCCTCCTCCCTCCTCCTCTCCTCCTCCTCATCCTCCTCCTCATCCCCCTTCTCTTGAATCCTCTTCCTCTTCACTCCTCCTCCTCCTCATCCATCCTCCTCCTCCGCCTCCATGTCCTCAGTCCTCCTTCTCGCCCTCCTCCTCTTCCTCCTCTCTCCTCCTGCTACGGCTCTGCTTCCTGCTGCTGCTTCTCCTCCTCACTCCTCCTCCTCCTTATCTCCTGCATCCTCCTCTCCTGTTCCCCCTCCTCCTCCTCTCCTCCTCCTCCTCCTGCCCTCCTCCTTCCTCTCCTCCTCATCTTCCTTCTCCTCCTCCTCCTCCTCCTCATCCTCCTCCTCCTCCACCTCCTCCTGCTGGGATAGGGATAAGGATAAGTTCGAGGCTGGTGATGCTTTCCTTGATTTCTCATGGCCCGCGCCTGAGCGCGCCTCCCTCCTTCTCCCCCCGTTGCAGCCCCGCCCTCCTCTCCTCCTCGCTCCCTTGCATTACCAGCCTCGGACTTATCCTTATCCCTAAGATTGACACGCCAAAAGGCGATGACAATTAGGGATGTGCCCTCAAAAAATAAAGGAATCCCTAAGATTGGCATCGTGATGAGGAGATGCCCAGCATAGGGATATGGATATGTTCCAGGCTGATAATTGCACGCTGGACAATTTTCGGTGCCCCCAATTCGCCTCACGCTTGTGCGGGTCGCCTCCGCCTCGCCGCCGACGAAAAAAACAAGTGTGCCTCGGCTTCGGCCGCTGGGGGCCGTTTTCGAGCCCCCTGGGGCCAGCAGACGCGGATCTGGACAAAAGGCTGCTGCCGCGGAAACGTCCAGGGTTATGTTGTTCCCATCGTACTTACGGACCACATCTTAGAAATAATTTCGAACACCTGGACAGGTGTCGAAACGGTGTTGGAACAGTGTCGGACGAGTGTCTCCTAGGGCCCGACACGTGAAATCCCTCGAGTTCTGGTACTTTCTCTCGGTGCTCGGCATCCTCTCTGGTGGTCAAGGCTAAAATATGTTGGAACTTTGTGGGCCCCGAAAACGGCAGGAAATGCCCCCTGAAAAAGGAAACGGCAAAAAAACGGCGACCAGAAACGGCAAAACAACGGCTTCAGGATGGGAACCGGAGCCGGAACCGGTCACAAAACGGCGACGGACCCGGAAAAAAGCGGCGTCGGAACCGGCACAAAAGCCGCAAAACGGGACCGGTAAAAAAAAACGGCCCTGTCGCTTCCAGGACCCACCAAGGGCTGGAGCATCAGAAGTCCAGGGCCCCTGGGGCCGCGGAGTCCCTTCTGTGCTTGCGGCAAGGCGTGCCGTCGGACGCCCGGGAGCGCGAGGCGCGAGGCGCGGAGCGCGCGGGGCGTCACCGCGCCCCCGCGGGTGGGACACGAGGGGCTCGAAACACACACAACAACACACACAACCACACACACAACCACACAACCACACACACACACGCGACACACACGACACACACACACAACACACACACAACACACACAACACACACATAACACACACACACACTCACACACGCGCGCGCACGTGTTGCGTCGGCGGCTAGGCAGAGGGTGACTGCGCTGGCGATGAGAGGCTTATACGGGGGTGCCGACACACACACACACAAAGACACCAAGTCGCCCAGTCTGCCAAAGGGCCCGTTGTACACTCAGAGGGGGCTGGTCTGGTTTGAGCTGACTTGGAGGGTCTGGGGGGGTGCGGGCAAAAGGCCGCACTTGAATCTGGGCACAAGGCCGCGTTTACATGGCTGGTCTGAGGGGGTCTGAATATGCTCGTCTGGGAGGATTATGACCCCCCCCGCTTCATTATGGAATTCGGAATAGACGCCCCAGCGTCCCGACCTGTGGGGTGCTGGTGGAGCGTCTACACGCCGACTTCCTTCGCCAAGCTCGTGCTGCCTCTTCAGCCGCCCAAGGGACACGTCGCACGCATCGAGCCCCTCCGGCGACGGTATGGACGACCCAGCCCCCCGGGGAGCCGAGCGTCGGGGTTCTGGCCGCGCCCAGAGCTCGTGGAGGAGAACGTCGGCGCGCGCCTTGAGGGAAACCGAAGGACACACCCTGACACGTCGGTCGGAAGAGGTAGTTTAAAACACGAAGCGGGAAGGCGAATAATGTAGATTGGGTCCAGGCCCTCCTGGAGACCGACAAAACACAGCAAACACATGCCGATTCTCGAAGCAGGAAGGCGCTTGAAGTGGACTGGGACCTGGGCATCCACCCAAAAACCTACTTCCACAACCAAGGGGCAACCGCCGCGTCAGGCTTCGACCTCGACCATCGACAGTCCAGGGAGGAGTCTCTCTCAGACGATCGTGGCCCCGGTCGGGCCTGCAGCGGCCTCCGGGGGCCCCTGGAGGCCCAGGACAAGGATTTGGGGCGGCAAGCTGGCCACTCCTGCTCCTGCTCTCCTCCTCCTTCTCCTCCTCATCCTCCTTCAATCTTCGCTTCCTGCTCCTCCTCCTCCTCCTCCTCCTCCTCCTCCTCCTCCTCCTCCTCCTCCTCCTCCCTCCTCCCTTCTCCAATCTCCTCCACCTCCTCCTCCTCCTCTTTCACCTCCTCCTCCTCCTCCTCCTCCTACCTGCCCTCCTCCTCCACCTCCTCCTCCTTCACCTCCTCCTTCCTCCTTCAATATCCTCCTCCCCCCCCCTCCTGCTCCTCCTCCTCCTCTCCTCCTTCTCCTCCTCCTCCTCCTCCTCCTCCTCTCCTCTTCCTCTCCTCCTCCTCCACATCCTCCTCCTCCTTCTCCTCCTCCTCCTCCTCCTCCTGCCCCTCCTCCTCCTTCTCCTGCTCCTCCTCTCCTCCTTCTCCTCTCCTCCTCCTCCTCCTCCTGCCCCTCTCCTCCTTCCCTCCGTCAGTTCCTCTCCTCCTCCTCCTTCCTCCTCCGCCTCCTCCTCTCCTCCTCCTCCTCCTCTCCTCCTCCTCCTCTCCTCCTCCTCCTCCTCCTCCTCCTCCTCTTAGTATGAACAATATTAGTATTATTTATCTTATTATTCTTAGTATTATTCTTATTTTGCTTATTATTATTCCTCTTCTTCCTCTTCCTCCTCTTCCTCCTCCTCCTCCTCCGCCCCCTGCCGTCAGGCCGAGGCAATTTTCAAATGCCTCGCCACCGCGGATAAGCGGTGCTGCCTGGGCTCCGTGTGGCACCGCCTGAATGCGGTGTGGGTCCGATGATGTCAGATCCTTATCCCGCCCGCGTTCCGGGTGCGATAAGGATAGGGCGGAGGGCGGCACCTCCCGCTGGGAGGTTCGTGGTCGTTCGTTGTCGTCCTTCGTGTCTCGTTTCGTCGTCATGTCCGTCGCCCTTTTCCTTTTTGGGAGTTGCGGCACGGCCCTGGATTAGGTTCCAGGGTGGACGTTGTTTGCGCTCCTGGGCCGGAGAGTGGCCCCCTCCCCCTCCCCCTCCTGCTGCCGCTGCTGTTGCCGTTGCAGCTGTCAGGCCAGGGCTTTTAGTGCCCTGCCACCTCGGCCAAGAGGTGCGGCCTGGGCGCGGGAAGACCCCAGTGGCACCTCCTGGTCTGAGGTGTACCGCCGTTTGACGACCACGGAGGCGGGGCCCGCGGCTTTCCGCCTGTAACCTCTTGGTTGCAGTGCTCTTTGCCGCGGGCACACTGTTGCCGTGCTTGTGAGGGTGCGGGCGCTGGGCAACGCTCCGTGTATTGTCCCTTGGGCGCCGATCCCGAACCCCCGTGCGCCATTTTGGCGCGGGGTGTAGGGCGGTCCTTGGTTTGCTTTCTTTTCCTTGATTTCCTCCCTAAGGCACAGCGTTTCTGGCGCTATTGGGAGTTAGTCAAGGGAAGGAGGCCGGAGGTCAGGTCCCAGCTTGTGTCCGTGATCCCCTCTTTTTGCGCGTGTGCCCTTGGTGTTGGCCGTTGGCCACTTTGGCCGTTGGCCAGGGCACGTTGGCCCGCGCTTTGCTGAGCGCCACGGTTTTGTTCTGCCTTTTGGGCCTGCAACATATCCTCCGCCCCCTCCTCTCCTACCTCCTCCTCCTCCCTCCCTCCCTCTCTCCCTCCTCCCCCTTCCTCCTCCCTCCTCCCTCCCCTCCTCCCTCCTCGCCCCCACCTCCTCCCTCCTCCCTCCTCCCTCCTCCGTCCTCCTCCTTCCTCCTCCCTCCTCCCTCCTCCTCCTCCCTCCTCCCTCCCTTCCTCCCTCCTCCCTCCTCCTGCTCTCCTCCCTCCTCCTCCTCCCGCCTCCTCCACTCCCTCTCCCTTCACCCTTCTCCCTCCAACCTGCTCCCTCCTCCCTCCTCCCTCCTCCCTCCTCCTCCCTCCCTCCTCCCTCTCCCTTCCTCCTCCTCCTCCTCTCCTCCTCCTATCCTACTCCTCCTCCTCTCTCCTCCTCCTCTCCTCCTCCTCCTCCTCTCCTCCTCTCCTCTCCTCCTCCCCTCCGCCTCATCCTCCTCACCCCATCCTCCTCCCGACTCCTCCTCCTCCTCCTCCTCACCCACCCTCCACCTCCCCCCTCCCCTCTCCTCCTCTCTCCTCCTTCCTCCCTCCTCCTCCTCCCTCCTCCCTCCTCTCTCCTCCCTCCTCCCTCCTCCATCCTCCCTCCCCCCTCCTCCCGTATCCCTGCCCCCTCCTCCCTCCTCCCTCCTTCTCATCCCGGGGTGCGCTCTGACCAGGAACTCGACGAGCACAGGCTGTGGCGAGGAGGAGCGGGCGGCTACTGCAGCAGGCGAGCACGGAGCCAGGGGCATCGGCATCGATGTGCTCCCAAACATCTGATTTTCTTGTCGGCGGCGAGCGATCTTCTTGCGGGGTCAAAAGCCTGGAGGATGTTCGTTGGAATCTCGTGGGCGGCCTCTCGGGTGCCTCTCGGCGGCGGTTCCGGGGCCTCCTGGGGGGCAGTTTTAGGGCCTCTTGGATGCTCTGTAAGCCTTCCCCGATGACAGAAACAAGCACTCCTCAGGAGGCGCGGGGGCTCCTGAGAGGCCCCGCCGTCTTCTGAGGCGGGTCTTCTCCTTCTCGCTTCCCCCCCTTCGCCTGCCGCCAATCTTTGGCACGGGGCCTCCGGAGGTCCCGACTCTCTCCCCTGGGGCGACGTCTTCGCCACGCGTGGGGGCCCCGGGGGCCGCCGACGCACGGAGCTGCGAGGCCCCACACTGCCAACAGAAACGAGGCCTCCCGCCGCGGGTGGCCCACGGTGCCGGCCACTCCTGGGCCCTCCCCCGCCCGGAAGGGACTCACGCGCCGCCCGGAAGGGACTCACGCCGACCTCGGTCCCCGCGGGCGCTTCCCGAGGCCCCTCCCGACCCGTGTGCCGCGGCGGATCCAGCCTCAGCGACGAGAAGCCTCGAGAGGAGGCCCACAAAGATCGGGTCGGGCGAAAGGGGGGGATAGCAAAGGGGGGGGGTGAGAATCAGCTCACGTAGCTGATTTTCCTGGCGCCTCCCGGCGCCAGAGGGAGCTACGTGTCGAGGAATGGGCCCCTCGGTGAGGCCGAAACCAGCTGCATGCAGCAAATTTCGTACCCCCCCCTTTCCCAATCCCCCCCTTTCGCCTGGCCCGAAAAGAAAGGACGCCTGGCCCTCCTCCGATTCTGCCCTGGACCCCACGCCTGCTCGCCGCCGCCGCCGCCAGGCTCGCGCGCTCGGGGTCGAGGGCCTTCTCGTCGCTGTGGCGCCTGGAGAGGAGGAGGAGGAGGAGGAGGAGGAGGAGGAGGAGGAGGAGGTAGTCGGCTCGCGCGCTCAGGGTCGACGGCCCTCTCGTCGCTCTCGTGCCTGCTCGATGACGCGGCCGCGAGGCTGGCGCGCTCGGGGACGACGGCCCTCTCGTCGCTCCCGCGCCTGCTCGCCGCCGCGGCCGCAAGGCTCGCTCGGCCGCACGCAGTGCAGTCGAAGTCTATAGTAAGGACGGGCGGTAAGGACGCAAGGGCGGGGGCCTCCTGCTCCTCCTGCGCCTCCCCCTTCTCCTCCTCCTCCTCCTCCTCCTCCTCCTCCTCCTCCTCCTCATCATCATCATCATCATCATCATCACTTCCTGCTCCTCCTCCTCCTCCTCCTCCTCCTCCTACTCCTCCTCCTCCTACTCCTCCTGCTCCTCCTCATCCTCCTCCTCTTCCTCCTCCTTCCGGCCGCCCTTCCCGACCAAACCCCGCTCAGACTCGGTCCCCCGACACCGAAGCTGGCCCCTTTCTTGGCGGCGGACTGCCAACACCCCGAAGGGCTGGCCAGTGAAGGCCGCGACGGACAGGCCGCAGCGCGAGGGCAAGGACGCAAGAACAACATTGAGGCATCCCGCGCGTCCTTGCTATGTAGACTTTGACTCCACCATGCGATATGCTCAAGAAATCATGGGTTCAGAAATCCATAGCCTCAGAATTTGCAGAAAAACCCAGGACTTCGATGAGCTAAGACTCTATCGCGAGACTCTGGCCGAAAACTTAAGTTTCCTTAAGCATCGCCTGGGGTGTGTATTCCAAATCCCTTATTAATCGTCCCCCGGGTCCGGTTTTTTAAGGTGCCTTTTTGGTCATTAAGGGGGTCCGGTTTATTAGGTCGCTTTCTTTGGATTGGAGCTGAGGGGGTCTGGTTTACGAAGGCGCCCCATCGAAGAGGGGGTCCGGAATATTAGGTCGCATTTGGAGGGGGGTCCGGTTTTTTAGGGGGGGTCGATTAGTAAGGGATTTGGAGTAAGACTCTATCGAGACTCTGGCCGAAAACGTAAGTTTTCTTAAGCATCGCCTGGGGTGTGTAGCGACCCCTGGCAGGAGGCGAGCGTGGCCTCTGGTGCGCGGCTCCGTGGGGGGGGGGGCCGGCGCGCGGGGGTGCCAGACCCGAGCGCGCAGGCCGCCGCTGCGGTGGCCTCGGATTCGGCGCTCTCCTCCTCCGCCTCCTCCTCCTCCGCCTCCTCCTCCTCCTCCTCCTCCTCCTCCTCCTCCGCCTCCGCCTCCTCCTCCTCCTCCTCCTCCTTCTCCTCCTCCTCCTCCTCCTCCTCCTCCTCCTCCTCCGCCTCCGCCTCCGCCTCCTCCTCCTCCTCCTCCTCCTGATGCCCCAGTGGGCCCGCACCGAAGCTCATCCGGGCGAAGGGCCGCTCTTACCCATCGGTCGGAAGAAGTAGGTAGAAACACGAAGTAGGAAAGCGTTGAAGGCAGAATGGGTTGCCTCCGCCCCCCTGGGGGGACGGGAGAGGTGGAGCCACTCGACTACTGAAGTAGGAGGAAGGCGCTCAAAGTGGATTGGAAGATGGGAACTGGAATATGGGAACCCAGACATGCCTGGTTTCAACGACCGATGGGCAGTCGGCTCGCGCGCCCGTGGTCGACAACCCTCTCGGCGCCTGCCCGCCGCCACGGTCGCGATGCTCGCGCGCTCGTGATCGAGGGTGGCGCCCTCGTCGGCCCAACACTGGCCCGCCCCGGCGTGGTCGCCGAGCGACGCCCGTCCGTCGGCCTGGCTGCAGGGGGAATAGGGATGAGGGGGCCGACAGGCTCGAGGTTCTCCTCGTCCCCCTCCGCCGCCAGTACTCATGGACAACTCCTCTCCGGGGCACCCCCAAGCACGTCGGCAAGGCGGGCCGGGCGTCTTGCCCGAGACATCCTCGCCACTGCTGATCCCGAAGCTTGATATGTGCAACGGTGTCTTGGATTGGGGGGCGGGCCGTTTTCAAAGTGTAGTTCTTGCCTGGGCGACGCGAACATTCGTCTTGACAGTTTGCAGCAGCTTCGCGGATGGAGGGCGGGTGGCTTTCAAAATGTGGCTATCGCCTTAGCGCCGCGCGCATTCGTCTTACAAGTTCGCAACCTATCATGAATGGAGGAGGGTGGTTTTCAAAATGTAGCTCTCGCCTTAGCCGCGCGTACTTTCGCTTTCAAAGTGTGCAACCGTTCCAAGGATGGAGGGCGATTCGTGTTCGAAATGTGAGTATCGCCGTACCGCCTTGCGCATTCGTCTTGAAAGTGTGCAACAGGTTCAAGGGCTCGTCTAGAAGACATCACAGGAGTGGGGTTCAGGACGCCACAATCACGCTCGAGCGCCTTGATGAAGTCCCAGGAATTGTGTTGTGTTGTGTTCTGGCACGCTTTCGGATGTCAGTGCGCAAAAGTCACGTTGATTCGCGCCTGACTCCCAGGAATGGTGCTTTGGCACAATTGGAGATTCTCAGACGGTTGTCTTCCAATGGAGAACTCCGCGCAATGAAAACAACTTATTACATGGATCTGTCAAAAGGGAGCTTGGAGGGAGGGCTTATTGCAACATCGTTCATGTGTCTTAGGTTTGCACTGGTCTTGCTCCCCCTCCTCCTCCGCCCCTCCTCCTCCTCCTCCTTCCACCCCTCCTCCTTCTCCTCTTCCTCTTCCTCTTCCTCCTCGGAGGAAGACAGGCTCGAGGTTAGAACATTTCGGCAATATTCGTCGGTTCTCCGCGGCGGTCCAGCCTCGGGAGGCCCTGCAACGGCTGCGCATTGAGGAAGGCGCTCCAGGAGTACCCGGGTCGTCCCGAACGGCCGCAGGAGGCACGAATTAGGAAGCCCGACAAACCACACGAGGACTCGCTCACGGGGGGCGACATCGATCTGCCATCGGCAACACATCAATCACCGAGAGAGATCGGCGACAGGCGCCCGCTGGCAACTTCCCCGCACGGTCCCCGGCGGGGCGGGCTGTCGAACTCCGAGTGGACACATGCTCCCCGGAACAAGTCCGCGTCCCGGCCAGTCTTCGGGCCGCAGCTCCAGCCCGCAGCGGTCGGTCGTTCGTGACGATCCGCGCACCCCCGGGAAGGGTCTCGGCGAGGCGCGGCTGCTGCAAAGCACACCGAGGCTGGAGGACCGCCGACAACCCACAAAAACACTCGAAGAACTACATCGAAACATCGAACCGTTTCGGGCACCCCAAGAACGCTCTCGACGAGGAGCGGCTGCTGGAGATCACCCAGACGCCGGGGGACCGTCGAACACCGACGAAAACGTTCGGAAACCTCGAGCAGCGAACCCCTGACCAGGGGTCCAATATCGACCCAAGAGAAAAACCTCCAGAAATCGAACCTCGCCTAAAACCCGTGCGTGTAATTAATGTTCGCGATAATGCCCGTGACTGGCTCCCCTCCCCTCCCCTCCCCTCCCCTGATCACGTCACGACTCGCGCTGGCGTCGTCTAGGAATGAGCCATTCTTAAGCAGTGACAGACGGCGCCAGCGCGAATCGTAACGTGACCGGCCCCCGCGCCCCCTCCCCACCCCCCCTTGGTCAGGCCCGCCCGTTGTCGCCAGGGGACAAGGGGTTCCCTATCGAACCTGGAACCACTGAGCCCATCCCCCCCCAACGTTGCCCGACGACGACGCTGCCCACGCCGTCGCCCGACGCCGTCGCCGCCGCCGCCGCGGCCGCAGCCGCCGATCAGGGCTCGAGGCTCGAGGCTTGAGCCTCGAGGATCGAGGATCGAGGCCCGATCCTCGACCTCGCGAATTCACGCCAGCGCGAATCGTGGCCCGACTGGCTTCCTCCCTCCCCCCCTCCCTCCCCCAAGGGTCACGCCCGATATCGCCAAGTAATAATACAACCTGTCTCGTACGGCAGTGACCCTTTTGACTTGAAACAGCTGCAAGGTGGTTGCAACCCACTTGCAAAACGGGCTGCAAGATCTCCATGTTGGGCCCGCGACTTCCTCGAGTAGGCTGCAAGTGGACTGCCACCTCCTTGCAGCTGCTGCAACTGATGCAAGCTGAACCGACCACTACAGCACCGAGCCTCGAACCACCGAGCCCGCGCCCCCACCCGACGTCGACGCCGCCGACGCCGCCGCCGCGGCCGCGGCAGCTGCCCTCGACCCTCGAGCATCGAGGCTCGAGCCTCGAGGAGCGAGCCTCGGGGCTCGAGGCTCGAGGCCCAGAGCTCCGACATCGCGAGATTTTCGGTGCGCGGCCCCCCGGAAGTCTTGACCCATTCCCCTGGACCGGTCCTTCGTCCCGGGGCCCGGCGAGGGCCCCGACGGGGGCCGACACTGGCGAAGAGCCTCCGCCCTGGCTCGTTCCGTGCGCTGGACTCTCGAGGGCTCGCTCCTCGACTGGCGGAGCTCGAGCCCCCCGGGAGCTGCAGGCCCCCCCGCGCTGCCCCGGCCTGGCGGTCCTCGCCCGGGCGGGCGAGCAGGCCGCGCCGCTGCTCCAGCTGCCTCTCCTGGAGGGGGGCGGGCGGCAGCCAAAGGCCAGGGCCGAGCCGGCTGCGCGGCACAGTCGCAGCGGACACGATTGAGCAGGGACTCCTTGTCTGCGCCTCCTCCCCCTCCTCCTCCTCCTCCTCCTCCTCCTCCTCCTCCTCCTCTTCCTCCTCCTCCTCATTTTCATCCTCCTCCTCCTCGCCCATCCCCCGTTGCTCCTTTCTACAAGCCTACCACGAAAGCCCAAGCATGTTCTGAGAGCAAGAGTAAGGTTCTTAGAACATCAACGCGATGTGCTGAAACAGTGATATCCCAGTCAGAAGTGTTTTCAAAACATTTCGTGGAGACCACAAAAGGATCTCATAACATGGTCTGGTAGGCCTATAGGCACGCCATGACGATTCGCCACTGCTTGACACGAAGGCTGCGCGGCAGGGATGCACGCACAGCCCACCCGTAGCATCAGGTCGGGCACGTCCTCCTGCATGCGGAGCTCGGGAGAACAATCAAACAAGCCAAGCAAGACTCAAAAGTAGCAGGAAAAATGAGTAGCATCCTGGAGATGCGGATACGAATGAGGGGGCGGTGGGGACGTCGGCAGTTTGCGAGACTCTGGAGAAGCCCGCCGCAGGCACCAAAGTTTCACAAATTATACAACGAGCCCGCCGCGACGCGCGGATTTTTTCGTTAAAGCAATGTGGATAGGTCGCGAGTGGGTCGCAAATGGGTCGCGGGTGGGTCGCTGTTGGGTCGAGGGTGTAGAGGGCAGAAAATCCACCCCATACTAATCACCCCGACAAGCGAAACGCACACAAGGAATGAATCGAACAGGGCAGGGCTGTTAGTAAACGTCAAAATTCGGGTCTGGATGGTTTTTCCTCCCTTGAGGGTGGGTCGCGGGGTGGGTCGCGGGTGGGTCGCGGGGTAGGTCGCGGGTGGGTCGCGGATGGGTCGCGGGTGGGTCGCGGGGTAGGTCGCGGATGGGTCGCGGGGTGAGCCGCGGGTGTGTCGTGGGTGAGTCGAGGGTGGATCGCGGGTTGGGTCGCGGGTGGGTCGCAGGTTGGGTCGCGGGGGGGTCGCGGAATGGGTCGCGGGGCGGGTCGCGGGATGGGTCGCGGGTGGGACGACGAAAACCAACAACAACAACAACAACACCAACAACAACAGACAACAGACAACAGACAACAGACAACAAACAACAAACAACAAACAACAACAGCAGCAACACCAACAACAAGAAGAACAACAGCAACAGCAACAGCAGCAACAACAATTAGTTTAGAACTGATCGATCTTACTGGCACGCGTGTCTTGCATTCCGTATAACCCAACCCTCGATACCTGCCCACTTCGTCTTCGATTGTGCCCCCTTTCGAGGGGAATATCTGCCTTGTCGGCCACTGACTGAAGTGCGAGGAAGTCTCGAGCGAGAGCGACGCTCCTAAGTTCGGGGGCCTCTCTGGCCAAGGGCTCTCGGAATACCTATGGAGAAATATCGAACAAGAACCCTTTGTCGCCGTGTCCAGGCCTCCACCACTTTGCCTGAATGACAAGAAAGTCTCAACAACAACAACAACAACACCAACCACAACAACAACAACAACAACAACAACGCAAGAAACATAATTCTCACCACGAATCCCCTTTTCAGCCACGCGCCCAGGGACAATGAATGACCGTTCGGCCCCCTCACTCTGATTAAAAAACCTCCCAAGACCATTCTCCATTATGAAATATTCCTCCTGTGGAGGGACATGCCCGACTTAACCGCAGCACAAGGAGACACGATATAATTTCAAGGGCCCTGAAGGCCATGCCGACACTTTGCGAGCAGGGCGCGGCCAGAGAAAGGGGGTCAAGGATGGGCCGAAGGTGGCAAGGATGCAAGGGTAAGCTTGGAAAGCTGCTTATCCCTACTGCGCGCTCTGACTGCAATCGACTCCTGACCAAAAGAACATGACTGCCAATGTTGGACATAAATGGACGACTCTCTGCCGATAGATTGCACGATATGGGCCACGTCTACCACATCGCAGCGCGGAGGGGGTCCGGGCGTGGCAACAAATCATGCCGCTCCTTGACAGAGACGTCGCCCCGGTTCGTGGACGCCGCGATCGCCCTGGTGGCCTCCAGAATCGACTTGGAGGTTGGGTTCGGAGTCGGACACCACTCCACGCAACGATGAACGCGGAAAAACGTCGGTGACGATCTAGGTCATCGTCCACCTCTGGTCATCACGGGGGCCCGAAAACCCAGGACCTGCTCGCGTCAAGGAACAAAAAACACGACGGACACGTTTGCCATTCTCGGACTCTGTGGGCCCTCGCTGGGCCTCGAGATCGCGAAGCAACTACAAGTCCACCCGCATCATAAGGATGCGCTGTAAGGATGCAAGGGCCTTGGAAGGCCGTTTCGAAGCTTTTCGAGCGGGGCGCGGCCAACGAAAGAGGCCAAGGGTGGACCGATGACAAAAAAAGCAAGGCTACCCTTGGGAAGGTTGCCCATCCTTACTATGCGGGTTGACTGCAATTACCCGGGATGAAAAACTGGCCAAGGCTGAACTCGGAAAAGCGTCGGCGCGGATCTTTCTGCGGCGAGCCAAGGGGGGCGGGAATGCAGAAAGCGGCGGGGCTTCTCGCAGGGCCCGGAAGCCTTTTTCGGCCTCCCGAGAAATTGTGCCGGAGCCTTCGCCGAAAAAACAAAGACGACTGCTTACAAGGCCGGCTGGCTTCCGAGAAGCTCCGTCGCCTTCTGAGAAGGCCTACCCTCTCTAGAAGAAGAAACAACACCATAGACATGAACTTTTGGCGCTCCGCGCGGACTTCTTGGATCTGCGCTGGACCCCCGCGCCAGGGGCGGCGCCGCCGGCGCCGCCGGGGGGGGAGCACAGCGCAGATCAAAGAAATCCGCGCGGAGCGCTAAGAGTTTATGCTTATGGCGTTGTTGTCCTTCTTCGACCATCTCCGTCCTGGTGATCTTGGGGGGGTCCCTCTTCGCCCCCTCCATCTTGGGCGTACTTGCCCTTCTGCGACCCTCTCCCCCTTGGGCGCGCGTGCTCTTCTTCGACCCTCGCCATCTTGGTGATCGTGGTGGCCCTGCTTCGACCCTCTCCGTCCTGGTGATCTTGGGGGCCCCCCCTTCGCGCCTCGCGCCCCCGCGGGTGCGGCCCGCGCCGCGCCTCGTGGGCGCCCCGCGCCCGAGGGCTCTGCCGCGTCTGCGCCTCGCGGCCGCCTCGCGGCCGCCTCGTGGGCGCCCCGTCCGCCAAAGGGGGCGTGCCGACCCTGCGCCACGCTGCCGCCACGCTGCCGCCTCGCGGGCGCCCCGACTTCGCTGAGCCCACGCGGCCGCGGTGGACGGCCCCCGGGGCCGCAGCCCCGTCGCCACGCCTCGCGGCCTCGCGCCCCGCAAGATGCGCTTCCGCCGCGCACTCCAGCCCGGCGCCGCGCCCTCGCGGGGCCGCCCGGGAGGAGGCGCCTCCCCCCGTCCCCCCTGGCCGCGGCGGTGCGCGGGAGCGCGAGCGCCATCGCGCCCCCTCGGGGGGTGACCCAGATTTTTGGAGGAGGAAGGAGGGAGGAGGAGGAGGAGGAGGAGGTAGGAGGAGGTAGGAGGAGGAAGAAAAGAAGGAGGAGGAGGAAGGAGGAGGAGGAGGAGGAGGGGGAGGAGGGGGAGGAGGCGCAGGAGGTAGGAGCTAGGAGCAAGGAGCAAGAGGAGGAGGAGGGGCAGGAGGAGGAGGAGAGGGAGGAGGCGCAGGAGGACGGAGCAGGAGCAAGGAGGAAGGAGGAGGAGGAGGAGGAGGAGTGCGGTGACGGACTGTGCGGTGACCTCGAGATCCCAGGAGCCCTCACCACACGATGCGTAGACACGCCGCGAGGGCCCGGTCGCCCAAGACATCCTTGGAAAGTGACCCGAGTCTCAAAACCGCACGGTCACCCCCAAACCACACTGACTCACCACACGGTGTCACCTCACTTTGTGGGAGCCGCAGATACTCGTCAAGTCGCGGATCATCCTCGCGAGTCGACGACGGCGAGCACGGACCACGACCAAGGTGAGCGTCGACCATTCCCGCGACGTCTTCAGACGAACACAAGCCGATGACATCATTTCCCGGAGGCCCGCGCGAATTTCTCGGGTCTGCGCTGGGGCCCCCCGCCCCGCGCACCAGGGATCCGGGTCTACTGTTAGTCTTCGAATTTTGGACGTGATCGTCCATGCCGCGAGCCATGGCCTCCGAGTCGACTGTTAGCTTCCTCCCTCGAGCTCCATGCCGCGCACCATGGCCGCGTGCGCCGCCTCGAGCTGCACCCGCTCCTCTCTGGGAGGGGGTGGGGCCGGGCGCCTGCGCGCACGCTGCAAAAGGCAGGCACGCCAGGAAGCCTGGGGCCCCAGGCCAGCGGCCAGGAGCGCTCTGTGGTGCTGCGCACGGCGACACGCAGAAGGGACCCTCTGGGCAAGAGTGACCTCTGGTGCGCGGCTTGAGCAGAAGAAGAACAAACGCCATAAAGATAAACTTTTGGCGCTCCCCGCGTATTTCTTCGATCCGCGCTGGGCCCCCGGCGGCCTCCGGCGCCGCCCCTGGCGAGCTCCGCGCTCCAGGGAGGGGGGGCCAGCGCAGATCCAAGAAATCCAAGCGGAGCGCCAAAACGTTCTGTTTGTGGCGTTGTTTGTTTTTCGATGTTGGGGGGGACGCGGGGGCCAAGCCGGTGGGCGCAAGCCGCTGCCATCACATCCCTTTCAGCCATCTGGGGACCACACTGTGCCCGCACCAAAGGACACTCTGGCGAATAATCACTCTGCCACTCATCCGATACACCTCCAGACCCCCTCGTGCCATGACGAACTCACGACGGGGGATCTTCGCCGTCTCCGCCCTCAGCAAAAGCCCTTGCTGGGCCCCGGGGCCGTGAGAAATCTAGTGAGGATGAGAAGCGAGTCAAGGGAAGCGGTCTGGTCGGAGGAAGGCGAATTGAGACCACGGCGTCGCAGAATCGGCCCCCAAGCCTTGAGCCCCCCTCGGGGGTCCGAACGCAGCAAATGTCCGCGCTGCGTCCAGCCGTGACGACGAGGTGGGAAACCCGAAGGCCTAGCACCGTGGTCTCGGCACGCCCTCCTCTGATGATGGGCCTGTTTTCCACCACCGCCACCATAAGTTGGAGGGGGGAAGGAGGCGGAGGACGAGAAGGAGGAGGAGGAGGACGAGGAGGAGGACCCCCTCCCCCTCCAACTTATGGTGGTGTTGGTGGAAAATAGGCCCATCATCTGAGCTAGACCTCCGGGTTCCAGCCCCATCTCCCCGACGCTGGGGGTTGCCCCAGTCACATCGTCTTTCCGACCAGCGCCTCGAAGCGGTGCCGTCAGCGCATGGCGCGGCCAATGAGCTCACGCCCCCATGGCAATCTCGCGGATGGCGCCCTCCGCATCAGCGAATCCCACATCGATCCCGGCGCATAACAACTGGTGCGATGCCTATCAACAACATTTGCACTGCCTTGCAACGGGATCGGGTTGTCCACAAACTCATCAGGTTCGAGCTCCCCCCCGCACAATTCTGATACAAAGCCATAAATAGGTCAGCAGCACTAGCGACCTCGATGCGATTCGCCTTTAACACGCTCACGCACGCGATCCTATGATAATGTGCAGTTCGCTTCAAGTCGCTTTGCCCGACCCCCCCGGGTCTGCCTCAATGAACCAGTCCGCCATTCTTGTTTCTGCGACAGCAACCAACATGTGGTGGTCCTCTCGATTGTCGACATCTAGATTTGGGCGGCTGACTCGATGGTGGCGTCGACGAACATTAGGTTACATATAACATCAAAATTACCAAGGGCGGTGGTTCTGTCGTTGCCCACGAGATGTACAACAGCTCCATCTCTTTAATCGCAAGCGAGAGCTTTCACCCAATTCAATCAACCAGTGACAAATAGCAAGATACAGTAGAAAGCGTTGGGGGAGGATTCAAGCTTAAATCGGGAACTGGTCTGGCACCTGCAGTTCTGCGTGAGGGTTCACGAAAGAAAAACATGATCCTTGCATGGACACTCACAAACCTAGAACACGGTGCCTGACATGACCACCATGGTAAATAAAAGTGCCTGGGCACTTCCCGTTAGACTTCATACCAGTCCACTGCATCACTTCCCTCTGGAGTCAGACGTATGCACAGTTTTCAGAATTATAGCCATGCGCAATTTCAGGTCTTAATCTGAAGAACACGCTGCCACACCCATAGAGCAAAGCGTCAAGCAACCTCCATGGGCACAGAGCGGAGGTGTTTGCTAGGCTGGCCAATACCCCCTACCTAATTACTAGTCAACGGTCATCCGTCAGAAAAGGCCCTTGGGAAGGCCCCGGGAGCCACAAAGGGCGCTCGCAAAACATTCCTGGGGAAATACGCGCGCATAGGAAGATTGGCGAGAGTATGTAAGTATAGAGGAAAGTCTCTGGGGCCCTGGGGTCTCAACAGTGCCGCAGAGAGCCTTTACACACGACGCCTCGTGGGCTTGACGATTGCTGAAACCTCTTGGACGTACTGAGGTCAAGGAGGGCTCTTATAGATCTGTCGTAGACCGCGGCGATTGGCGTCCTCATCAGGAAACCCAGGCACGCTCTAAGCAGCTTGGTGCTGACTGCGAGGGAAACTAGGACTCTAACATGGTTGTTCGTTGCCCCTGTGTGGAGCACCCTGGAAACAAGCAACAAGATGAGCAAAAACAGAAACTAATAACCGGAAAGACGCACGTGCCATATAATCCTCCGCGAACTCACTCCTTCTCCATGTGCATATGGCGTGTTCAAAACCCATGAACCATAACCGTTGCCATTTCTTGGGGGGCGGCCTTTATTTCCGCTGGCTTCCGCCGAGCTGCCGCCAGCAGAGGCGGCCTCGTTTGGCTTCCGCCGCATTCCGTAGCCCTTCCGCCGCCTTCCGCCGAGGAGGAGATATCAACTCCTTCGACCCTCGAAGGCGCTGCCCGTATTTGTGTAATTCCTTGAAGAGACGCAGGTGCCCGCAACTACAAACATGACACACGTCATACTGCATTTAAAAATCTACTCGCTCTGCCGCTCAACTCGGGAGACAATGCCGGAACGAAGAGGAGGGAAGACGAGGAGGGAAGATGGGCAGAGTGCTTGCCAAAAACGGCTGGCACGAGCGATCGTGCTGCTCAAATTGCGCCGTACCGACAGCTGCGGCGCCAGAAGGAGACACGTTACTGACGTGGCACATTGGTGGGGCTCCCGAGTGAAAATAACCTGGCCGCCAAACATCCGCGCAGACTCTTTGGCCAGACGCGCGTCGCGGCCATGGCATGGAGAACTGCTCTGCATGAGCTGCAGAGGGCGATGCTGATGTTTATCCAGCATGACTCGGCTGCCCTGGGGGATCAAAAGCAACAGCGCTGTAGACCTTTCGGGGCCTGCTTCTTGAGGGGAGGCAGGGGCAGAATTCGGAGGAACTAGCATGTGGTGACTTCTCGTTTGTTCTGTCACTTTCTATTGGTCCCCAGCACTGGGGGCAACTCAAGCAACCACTCCGTCAATGGCGCCTCTCGGAACACGTCTTGGAACCCAGTTTCGGGAGCGGCCAAGAGGGGGGTGTCCAAGAGGGGGGTGCAAATCATGACCGGCGGCATGTGCGCGGCCCAGCGGGGGGGCCAGGGACGTAATGAAATAAGAAGAGGCGCCATGAAATCTGGGGAAATATCGTGGCCCACGCCATGATATCCACCCCCCCTAGTCATCACCCCCCTCTTTTCCGCCCCCGACAGTTGTGCGGACGTCTCAAGCGAAACGGGCCAGAGCACCTCAATTAAAGGCATCTCGCAGCAGCCCAGCGTTCGAAGGATGTCTCCGGCAAAACAGGCCTGCGTACCTCGCGATGGAACCCAGAGCTGTGAAGGTGTCTCAAGCGAAACGGGCCAGAGCACCTCGCGAGCCGCAAACCCGCAGGTGTGAGTTGCGAGGATGTCTCAAGCCAAGCGGACTAGAGAAACTCAAGTCAGGGTACCTCGGAGCCCGAGGTTCGGATGATGTCTCAAGCGAGACGAGCCTGAGCACCTCGTAAACCGCATCTTCAAGCTATAGAATTGCAAGGACGTCTCAAGCCGAACGGCCAAAGCCAAGAATTCCTAGGATGTCTCAGGCGAAACGTGCCTGAATACCTCGCGAACTACATCTTGGAACCCAGAGTTGTGAGGATGTCTCACGCGAAACGGGCCAGAGCACCTGAATTCGAGGCATCTCGAAGCCTGGGGTTCTGAGGATGTCTCAGGCGAACAACGTAATGAGGATGTCACAGGTGAAACGGGACTGAGCATCTCAAGTCAGGGCATCCCGGAAGCCGGGGTTGCGATGATGTCTCAAGCGAAGCGGGCCTGAGCACCTTGTGAAACGCAGCTTCAACCCAGAGTTGCGAGGACGTCTCAGGCCAAACGGTCACAGCCAGGGGTGCCGAAGATGTCTCAGGCGAAACGTGCCTGGGTACTTCGCGAACCACCATCTTGGACCCCAGTGGTTCCGAGGATGTCTCAGGCAAAACAGGCCTGAGTGCCTTGCGAACCACATCTTCGAATCCAGACTTCTGAGGACGTCTCAAGCGAGACGAACCAGAGGACATCTTATCAGGGCATCTTGGAGCCCGATGTTGCGAGGATGGCTCTCTGTAGGCAATGGGGCGCACCCAGCTCTTTTGAGGGCAATCCCTCCCTGGCACCTCCTTGAAACCGCCGTTGGGGTTGCCGGGGTCGCCCGAATCTGTCCCGGGCGATCCGGGCACCGGGGCTCAGGTGCACTGTCCCCATCGCCAACCAAGGCAAGCCCCAGAAAGGCCCCAAAAGCCAACCGAAGTGGCCAACGAGGACCATATGGCTCCGAAACTCACCTCCACCCCGTAAAACTAACGGACCGTTCGAGACATCCTCACAACCTGGGCGCGATCGGGACGTGACACACCCTTCGTCGGCAGAGCACCAGCACGCATCACCCGATCGAGCCTCGTCCAGCCCTGGCGACGAGAAGTGTCCCGAGAGCACTGGCAACAAGAGTCTTTGTCTGACAGCAATACGAGCACTATCGTTCCTCCCCCTCGTCCTCCATCATCCTGCTACTCCTCCTCCCCCTGTCCCTTCGCTTCGCACTCCTCAACGGTTGCTCGGAACTGCGGGGACGTCTCATGCGAAACTGGCTGGGCCCCCTGGCACGCGGCATCTCTTTGTCCATAATTGCGGGGCCGTCCCAGGCGAAACAGACATAATCACTTCGCGGGCGGCACCTTAGAGCCGAGCGAAGCAATGATGTCTCAAGCGAAC